TATCCTGCCAATAACACACTTCCGGTTCTGCCAGGATCACTTCCAGTGTAAAGCTGACAGTCAGCTTTAACCAGGAGACAAACTCCCAGAGGCTATGTTTACAAAATCTTAATGCCATCGGAAACTTAACAGGTATCATTCTAAATTTAATTTGATCTTAACATTCAGTTTTGGTAGTTTTTGAAGTTTTTATTGAACAAAAACCATTCACTGTTAGGATTTTGTTCACTCAAGAAAAGATTTCCATCCAGCTCCTTTGATTTTTTGTTCATCTGGTAGGTCCTTGACGCCCTGCACTCACAGTATGTCCTCAGTCTTTTGGGTTAAATGATTCAATTCCTTCAATTAACCTGGAAGACTGAGGACATCTACTGGCAGAGAAGAGGTAGTGTGGGGGACAGCGCCAGGGAGGAGGCGAGTATTTCAGCCAGAGCTGCTTTTTTATTGTAAACACTGACTGGGGCTACTTTTTTTTAAAAGAACTGGAGTTGAGCTTGAAAGTTAGCACTACATGGGCAATTGCGCAACTGCAATCACTAAAGATCATTTGCCTGCTCCAGAACACATTGTTTGTAATAGCAAGAGCTTCATGGGCGATTTTCAGTCACATGACCATCTTAGTAATGGCTGCAGGGCAGATCGCAGATGACACAAGCAACTTCTACGGTCAAAACTATTGTTGATTTGACCCCCATTAACTATTAGAAATTTGAATGAACATTCTGAAAACACATTTTTTTTGCACAAAATTCTTCTGGCGTCTGGCCAGCTTTAGAAGTCTCTGGATTTCTAGCACCTGGTATTGTTCTATACTTCAAGGGTCACAGGAAATGCGCGAGTATTGAAGAGATGCACTGTATATGTTGTTGTTTTTTTGCCCTTTTATTTATATGTCACCATCAATAATTAGTATCATTTTCGGGAGTCGGGACGCTTCCCTTTAAGGTTTTATTTGTATACAATGTAACTAGAACATTTTTGCTAAAAAAAGAATTGTAGAGAAACAGAATGTTACAAGATTACAGATCAGAATGTTCCATTCCTGCAAGAGAAGCTCGCTCGGATGCATTAATCATGATTTCTAATCTCTGTGGTTTGTTTCTACACACAGGGCCGCCAAACAGCGCCGAAAAGGCGATCGTATCGTCATAGAATGCCAGGAACAGGCGTACTGGCTCGTCAGCAAGCCATCGGTGAGTTGGTCGCGGTGTCGTCTATTCTTGTAGCTTGAGATTGGTCCGCTATGTGTTCATCACGCATTTGTCTTGCGTTCACACTGCATTCCCATGGACGCTTATAGTGCGCCATTCACAATTGAGCAATTTGTTGCGCATTTCTCGAAATACGACAACGCTCAAGATCTCACTTTGTTCGGTGGTGCCAGTTCACACCTGTCACTTGTAGCATGAAAAAGTACATGAGCTTATTTCAAGAACAGTCCCTCATTTCTGGACCCATAGACAACAGGAGCCAGGACTGGTCTTATAATGAGGCAGTCTGAGGCAGTTGCCTCAGACGGCACCTTATTGGCTCACATGGCGCGGCCAGAGCGTCCCAGGTTGCTAAGAGCTTACCAACCTTTGACGCTCTGGCCGACGACCCTCTCAGCTCCTGGCAACCAGTGACGTCAATCAGCTGTACCGGAGGTACCATGCACCACCAGCAATCCCCGCCTGTCCCCCCCCACCCTAGCACCACCAGCTTTCCTAGATACAAAGTGCGCAAAAAGTTTCCAAATGTACCAACTGTGGTCAAGTGTCCTTATTACTAGTTACCAGAGAAGTCATCCGTCCCTCCAAAAATAAATCCAGTCTCCAGCTAGGTCTCTCCAATCAACAGGGAGCATGAGCTTTGCTGATTGGCAGGGAGTGCTCAGCAAGGGGCATGCTAGACCTCTGCAGAGAGACCACTGCTTCCACACTCAGAGCAAGGGTCCTTATTACTAGTTACCAGAGAAGTCCTCTGTCCCTCCAAAACTAAATCCAGCCTCCTGCCAGGTCTCTCCAATCAACAGGGAGCATGAGCTTTGCTGATTGGCAGAGAGTGCTCAGCAAGGGGCATGTTGGATCTCTGCAAAGCGGCCACTGCTTCCACACACAGAGCAAGGGTCCTTCTCTGCAGCATGCTTGCCAGGTTCAGGCTTTTCTACTCAGGCTGTGGCTGCTTTTAAGGAAAAACGACTGCAAGACCTTTCTCACCTTTTGTTCTGACGCACCTGGAATGCATTTCGCTGATTCTTCTTTTACCGTATCACTGTGTATATATTTTGCCAGCTACAACAATCCTTGCCAGTGACAATGTAGCTGCCGGCCTGGAGTAGCCCTTTAAACTTCTTGCACAAAGTGTCGCAGCTTGAGTCACAGTAGCACCATTACCACATCTGTACACCTTGGGAAGCGAACGCGTGTTTTTTTCTCTTCTCCCACGCTCGTCTTTTCATCTTATATAGGCCACGCGCTATTATGCATTTCTTCATTACAAAATAAGCACACGCGCCAACGATTGAACAATCAATTCCGCAGCTTTCATGTGACCTTCGGATGACTTTGATGGCCCGTTTCATCTTCCCCATCAAGGTTCAAGCTCACGTGCAGCACAACTGTATTTATTAAAGCGCACGGTTTTGTGAGCGGTGTATAATTAAATGTCTATAATTTGCTTCCTGTCGTGTTGTTAACACATGCTGCTGCTGCTTTTTTTTATTTTTTATTAAACTAAATATAGTTTCTCTGGTTGGCACAAACGCTGATATCATTTTTTTTTTTTTTAATGATCTACTTTTCTCAGGAAGGAATTGAACATTTCAAGGAAAAATAAATAAATCAGCTTTCGTTTTTTATAACATAATTGCCGTGCGAAGTCTTTTCTCTAATCTAATGTTATTAAAAAATTAGCTTTCCATTTCCATCTCAAGCGGGAAGTTAATTCCTCTGGCTGCTTTAATATGAATATGTCCCTCCCCACCAACTATGGAGGCTCCCGAGGCGTTCTGTACGCTGAGGATTGTTAAAGAAGAACTCCATGTTGTAGAAAAAAGTAACCCTTGCAATGGGGCTATGTCTTCCCATAGTGCATTCTGGTGCCATCTCTTCCCCAGGTAAGTGACACACACGCACCCGACCATCCACATGATGTAAAGGAAAACGTGATTCAACTGACCAGGCCACCTTCTTCCATTGCTCTGTGGTCCAGTTCTGATGCTCACGTGCCCATTGTAGGCACTTTTGGAGGTGGACACGGGTCAGTATAAACATTCCAAAGAGCCCTTCCCCCCCTATGAATCTCTGTTAATGTTTGATCTGTTTGAATGCATGTACAGAATTAATATTGTTAGTATATTTTCTTTTTAAGTTCAATACAATTTTCAAATTCCATCATGTAAGGCCACATTATGACCACTAGATGGAGCTGTGGAGCATAAGAAATAAATACATCTTTCCTGTGCTCCTCAGCTCCATCTCATGGCAATAATGGGGTATTTTACTTATAGTACATTCGAATTGGAAAGAAAATGTACTAAAAAGTTAGTTTTCTACTCCATTCACACAGAGTAAACGTATATGAAGCTTTGCAGATCAAATATAAAATATTCGGCCATTGGAGAAGCTTTTTGGCATTATACTGAAGTATGCACGGCAAATTTGCACATTGGGGCACACACCCCCAGCAAAGGAATCCATTCCAGTGCTGCGATGTCAGCGATCCCCTCCACCGCCAGCGCCTCCATAGTCACCAGTGTGTGTGTGTGTGTGTGTTAGTTAGTAAAGCTCCTCCTCAACCAGTATGTGTTGGTTGATGTATTACAGAATTACAGAAAGGAGCGCCAGACCAAAAATGGATGAAAGAGTCTAATGATAATTAAAATCATTTTTAGAATTGTTATCATTTTACATTTATATAATGATTATAATAATGTTTAAAGGAGAACTATGGGGTCATTGTTTTTCCCCATAGTTCTCCTTAGGGTAACGGGAGGACACAAACTAGCGTCCTCCCGTTACCCTAAGCTCAGTATACCGCGAGCTACAGCTCGCGCTATACTGAGACGCCGCAGCCGGAGCGGATCCCGACTTAGACGACGGGATCCGCCCAGCTGCGTGAGTGACAGCTGGCTGTGCCTATCTAGAGGCAGAGCCAGCTGTACCCGCCCCCTCCCCCGTCCGTTCCGCCAGTCAGCACTGGCGGAGAGGGGAATCCAGCCCC